GCCAGCCCGCCCGAGACGTGCTCCTCGGCCGCATGCTCCCGAGACCACGTCCTCGGTGCGGCCAGCCCGCCCGAGGCGTGCTCCTCGGCCATATGTTCCCGAGACATGCCCCTCGACCGCATGCTCCCGAGACCACATCCTCGGCGCGGCCACCGCGCCCGAGACACATTCCCCGACCTCATGCCGCACTAAGCACCTACGCAGCGCGGCCTACTTGCCCCGGACCTGTGCCTCAATCGTAAACCACGAAGAACACCGCCGCTTACCGATTAAAGCCACGCCTCGAATCCCCACCGTCCGGTGCCGAGCCATGGCTTCCTTTGGGGGGGGGATATGATATGGCAAAAAATGGTAAACCCCACTCCCGACAACGCCCCCCGCACGTGGACAGGCGCGGCGCCCCAGGAAGAGCAACGTGGGCAACGGTTTGCGTCCGGACGCCAGCCTCACTGAGCCCACAGCCCCTCAGTCAACCCAGCACAGTAGGACGAGACAGAAGTAGGTAGCGGTTGAAGCTCGCCCATACCCTGCGATTCCCCGGTCCCATACGCAAGATCCTCGACGATGTCGGACGCCATCAGAGATACGACCCCGACCGACGGGATGGCGCGCCCGATAATGCCGAGTTCCCCTATAAACGTCCTCAAGCCAAAGGGAAGAGGGCAGGCTGAACTCCCCGAACAACCGCCACCGCATCTCTCTAACTTAATCGTTGGAGGGGTCGGGTCAAGCCGACCCGACCTTTGTGCAGGTATCAAGCCGAGGACTCCCGTCCGGGACGCACAGCCAAGGGATCCCCACCCGGAGGAAGTCGCTGCATCGCCCCGAGCCCGAGGCCGCCCCGACCGCCCCGGTGGAGGCGCGCATCGCCCCAGGGAGATCCCCGCTATTCAGACCCCCGAACGAGCCGAGACGACCTCTCGGGTCACGGCTAAGAAAAAAAGGTGTTTACACTAACACTGCTATTGCTTGAGGAACAACATTTCTGAAACATGAGGACTACATTTTGAGGACTGTTATCTCACAATCAGATTTCACTGCTTTTCAATTTTACACACTCTGACAGGCAATATACGTTCAGAATGAACAAAACACACTGTCCTCCAAGTAATTCACAACAGAATAGCTGTATCATCTGTCTTCATCCTGTATAACTATATAGTACTGCAACCAACAAAATACTGATATATCAGGGTGTAACCTCAAAATCACAACAGCGGCTTTCAGATGCAGAAAAAAGGGTTCAAACAGGCTTTAGCCTGCGCCAGCAAGCCTTTAGTGCAAAAAGATTTGAGATTTAGATGACTAGAACCACTAACAAATTAAGCTTTTTCAAAATCTCAGGAAAACACTGCACCATGGAGACCGAGAGAAGCATACAATTTCTCATCTCCCATTCCAAAAAGCCATGCAATAACTAGTTAGTTGTCCTTCCAGTTAAAAGATGCATCCCAAAAACAGAGATGCTCTACTGTCAAGCCAATTGACATAATTACAGTCGGCAACATACTGTAACTTTCAGAATGATCAAGCTGCTGTGCTTCAAAATGATTCTTTTTTTCTAACACTTGCTGATCCTCAATACTGCAGACTTGTATTATAAAGTACCAAAAAAACAGAGTCAGAAGGCTGTGACTAATTAGCTGCATCAAACAGCTAGGCTGTATGCTGTAAATTGAAGCAAAACAACTCGTTACCAGAAATGAGTGAGAAAATGCTGATTACGTGTCTGAATGCAGCAGTTTCAAGTGGTTGCTAACATTCTCCTATTTTCCATAACAGTCATTCAAGCTATTGACCGTACAAGCATATTGCTCATAGGCAGAGTTCTCATCTAGAGAAGCTATCTGGATCAGAGCACGGAAAATATTTGGAGTATTGTCCTTTTGATCAGCCACGTCTGAAGCTACATAGAAGTCTCCAGCACTGTCTTTCTGATTTGCTTTTGTCCTGCTCTTGGTATTCTTCTTATAATCCACACTGTTCTCTGCTTTGAGCCTTCCCATCCGCGGTTGCAGATCCACTAGTGAATTACTGGTCAACTAAGCCTTGCCACTTTTCTTTAGATCAATGAGCTTGAATTCTAGTCTATATAATGCAAAGGCTTCAGAATCATTGATCTAATATTCATACAGATGTCACTCATAGTGAGTTAGCGGTTGAGGATCCATGTAGTAGGATCTTTTGAACCACCCATATTCCTTCAATACTTGCTACCTAGATTCATGCCAACCACGGCCATTATAATCTGGCAATGAACTTTGCTTCCAGTTCCCCCTCTCAAATGCCCTCCTTGGCTTGTCAAAAAAAAAGCCATTCTCTTAGTGATTCGTCTTCAAGAACACAAAGATCAATAGCTCTGCAGCATAAAACAAAAATTCCTGGCAATCCTAAGTTCATCAAAAGAAGAAAAGGAGAAAAGTAGACACAACCATACATACCACACAGTAGAGTTTTCAAATGGGTGAACTAGCTGGCTAGAAATTATTGACAAATGAGCAGTATTTAAATGTCACTGAAGATGGAGTACACCCATACCTGAAGCATTCCATGGTGACCTTGCACCTTCACATACTGGAATGCCAACAATTTTTCCTTGTATTTTTGCGCTAAGAGCAGTAAAAAGTGGACCATCCTTCAAATCGATGCCTCCAGGGCGAAGCACCAGCGTCATACCTGGCATATCTTCATTAATCGCTAGAGTGGTATGGAAGCTGCTACAATAGTCTCGGCACCATTCTGAGCCCTGAGCAGGCCTTGGACAATCCCAAAGAGCACACTTTGGCCTTAAAAATGCAGAAGGCGGAGGGCAAATAGCTGGCAGCACATATGACATATAGGGAAACACATTTCGGCCATTCTACTCAGTAGGATCGACATCAACATAAAGATCATGGGGCAGTTCTTGAAGCATATTGTATTGCTGATAATTATAATGATTGACCCCTTCATGGCAAGTCACGTTATCTGGCCCTGTCTGGAGTTTGCTCTCTTAGTGGTCAGCATATGGGAGCTTCTGCCCAACTACATTCTGATTCACATAGTATTCCTGCAAGAAGCCAATTCGACAACTTTCACCACAAATTAATGAAAAAATAAGTTTAAATTATTAAAATATTTATCCCCACATAACATGCAAGTAAAATGGGCCATATTCTTATCTTATATCCTGATTTTTTATTCAAAAACAAAATATCCCGCATGGGCCATATTCTTTTTCACTCTATTCATGAAGAGCTTTCTTCTCTGCCTTTAGAGTTCCATCAAAATTGAATATACTTGCGAATTCTCTGGTTAGAACAATGAAAGCAAAGGACTGAGTATTCACCTCTCGGTGTATTTATTTTTTGTCCAAAGATACAATTACCAAATTGTGGTAACGCACAAAGAAAAGAAGATTAGGTTTGTATTCACCTCTTGAAAGTTGGCAGCCCGTCCACCTTGCGCGGCTCCAACATCAGCTTGTTGCAATTCCACTAGCTCGGGCTTTGGTGTGTTCCCGAACGCCAACTCGGCCAGCTTGCTCGTCGCATCATCCTCCTCCTCGCTCAGCTGCAACAGACGGAGCGTCTACGAAAACAGATCCCAAGTGTCAGGAGTCTTCCCCTGTCCACAAAGAATCAACCGAAAACTCCAAATCGACCGAACAAACAAACAGACAGAAAGAAAGATCGGCCTCCGACTCGATTACCTGCAGGGAGGTGGTGGGTGAAGGCTGGTTGAGCTCGGCCCAACACTCGCGGAGCCTCTGGTAGACCTGCTCCTCGAGGACAGCGACGTCGGCGGCGCGGCAATCCTTGATGGCGGACTGGAGGTCGTCCACCCGGTTCCTGGCCTTGTCCCTGTGCAGATGGTGCAACGCTGACTTGCAGCCCGTCCCCATGGCGAAGGATCGAGCGATCGAGGCGGAATCGGGACCCTAGAATTGGCGATCGGGGGTGAAATCGAGGCGGGAAGAACAAACGAAGTGGAAGAAGATGCCTCAGTAAGTAAGCATTCGCAATGGAGGATGGTAGGAACCTCCGCAAAACAGAGGCGGCAAATTGGGGGTGACACCCAGTTCCTGCCGTTGCTTCGATGACGGGGGATTTAAATTTTTTTTCTTCTATTTTTATAATATCATGTTTGTTTGATAAGGTAAGAATTGAGTAAAAATTAATAAAAGTATTATAAAAAGTATTAAGTCTTTTCCGTATGTATGATTACTTTTTATAAAGGATGAGTGTGAAAGGTTTCTCATGTAAAAAAAAAAAAAATAATAATAAAGATAGTTGATCTTCGCTCGTTAAAAAGAAAATCGATAATGAAAACCGATAGCCTCGAAGGGAGAGGAATCAAGAGTCGACGTAGGTTAGGACGACTCACTATACTTACATTCTATGTTAAATGTATTTTTGATATGTATATTTCATCGAACATTCAAATCGAAATTTTATTTCAAAAGCACTAATGCACCCTCCCCTCTTAGTGCCTTTATGCTCATAACACTTACCTTAATGGATCATGTTCTATTGGGTATTGGATCTCCATCTAACTACCAAAGCCTCTTGGATTAGTGAATCTCTACTTAATAATCTCTCAATGGCTCTTATTGGATCTTCTCCACAATATCTAATAATTCAGGGGCTTATTGGAAATTCAATAAGATAAGGGTTCTAGTGGATATCTCATATCTTAATCTCTACTCATTGCAACACCTATCATATGTGTGTGACCCTCTAGGCCCAATATCGAGTTGGCAATGAGTCATACATATCAAAACTTTTTCCGACTCAGTGAATTATTATCTCCATAATAATTCATTCGATTCATCAATTACGGATGTACTAGGCCACTACATTGTAGTTGTTGAATCTCGGGTTTTGATGATGAAACTAATTGATTGTGTTTAGATGTTTAACTGCATTTTGAGTGATGCAGGTCTACTCGATCAGGATTAGACAGTTGACGCAGGAGGAATTGACGTTGCGTCGGAGGAGATCACGTCAGGATATTGGACGACAGAAGGCTTCAAACGTCGGGCATCGGGCCAAGGAGAGCGGAATTGCGCCAAGGATATCGGGGTTGCGGAGGTCAACCGCCGATTGGGCAACAAACCACAAGAGAGGATGATGCGCTGAAGAATCGGACGAAGCGCCAACCAATGACGTGCCGGGCAACAAAATGTCAATTCGCGTTGTAATAATTATCTAGATCGGAGTAGAGTTTTGGCTTGTGTGTGCAGGATTAACTACGATAACGATGAAGAGATAAAGCGAAACAAAGTGCCGGAGTTAAGCACGAAGGATTCGTTGGGAGTTCGAGAGTTCGACGGAAGTCTGAAGGTTCGTCGGAATGCTGCTAGAACTAGCCGAGAATGAGTAGGGAGCTTGCTGAAGGGTTTTTCGGAAGCTCGCCGGAAGGTTCGTGGGAAGTTCGTGGAGCTCACCGAGAAAGATCAGAGCTTGCCGAAGAAGCTCGTTGGAACTCGCCAAGATCAAATCGTGAAGTCTAGGAGCTTGCCGGGAGTCCGCAGAATGGTTTCCAAGAGTTCGCCGGAAGACCACCGGAAGTTCGTCGGAAGCTCGCTGGAAGAAGTCTTGACTTATGGACTTTGTAATAGCTTAGGAAATGTCTTTAAATTCATAGTTAGCACATTAATTAGGGTTAGGATTAGGTGTTAATCTTATAACCCAAGTAGAGGCCAATTGGGCCCGAGTTCGGACTGGTTTGGGCCAAGTTTGGAGCCCAACCAATGAGTTGAAATAGTGTAGGCGATGGCACCGCACATAACCCGAGAACTGAGCGGTGGCACCGCCCAGCACTCGAGAGGTCCGGCGGTGGCACCGCCAGTACACTGTCTGTCAGACACAGACAGGCGGTGGCACAGCCAGCCTCGGAAACCCAAGAGAATTCAAAATTTGGAGCCCAAATTTGAATCCTCTTGGGGCCTATAAATACCCCTCAATTCTCAGTTGAGATAACAACCTTTGAGAAGCAAGAGATTGAGATAAAAGTCTTAGCAAAGTCTTTAGCAAGTTTTTATTTTCAATAGCTTGAGTGTTCACCTCCCTCTTTCTCTTTGAAAATTTGTAAGTGTGTGAACCACTTGTAAAAGGTTGTAAGAGGGGTATTTGTCCTTCCCCTTCAAAGTGATTTGTTAGTGGAAGTTGAGAGCCTCATTGAAGAAGGCTTCGTAAGTAGATATAGGTCATTTTGACCGAACCACTTTAAATTGGTGCGTTCCTTGAATGTGTGAGTTCTTACTTTTCTGAAACCATTATTTACATAACAGCAAGCTTTCGGTTTTCATCTTCTTACTTTACTCGAGCTACTTTCTCCAAGTCATCGACGAATTGAAATCTCTACGCATTTACGAAATTGTTTTTAAACTTACGAGTTTTAATCCGTTGCACTAATTCACCCCCCCCCCCCCTTTTAGTGCCGCTCCGATCCTAACAGTAGTATCTTGACGATATATGGGAATCCAATCTATCGGACCTATTTGACCTCAAGTATCATGTATCTATAGTCCCTCATCCATCTAATATCCCAAAGACCGCATACCGGGCATGGTGTTGTTAGGCCTATCTATCTAATTCTCCTGAAGAACTCTTTCTCTCTCAATCCGAATGACCCTAGCTAGGGATTTGCATGGGCAAGAATGCATAGGATATTTCTCTCATGACATCGAGAGCGGATGAACATCTATTGACACTCAATTGCCCTCGTAAAGTTGCTTACCACTCCTAATGACCAATTATGTTAGATCTGAAACTTCAAAACCTATAAGAATGATATCAAAGAGTAGAGTACTCATACAAGGCATCCTTGGTTTCTCAAGTTAAAGGACCAGATACACAATTGGAATGAAAGAATCGTTGTCTGACAATGAGGTATTATCAACTATCCAGCATTCCGTGAGTAAATCAATAAGTGAACTCATTATCCAATGAGCACCTGTATTGTATCCCTAGTGTTTGTTGGATAACTTGGGACAACATCACATGCGTAATGGAAGAGCAAAAATAAAAATCCTACATTTCCGGCAGAAAATAGTTTCTTGTCGTCATGCGAGATTGGTGCATAAAAACCTGCAAAACCAAAAAACTATGCATATGTTAAAGATGTGTTACCTAAGGAGATCGTATATCCTTGAAAACATACAGATCTATAGGAGAGGATCATGGAGGTCAACTGTTCTCCTCTCTAGCAATGATCCACATAATAGATATGATGAAGACGCTTCTCAAATCGCTACACAATCCTTCTTTCCACGCTCACCACATGAGCAAGAAGGGGTCGACCCTTCTTTCTGTCCACATGCCCCAAACTAGGGCTATCGGTTGAGGAGGAGAGGAAGAGAGGAGTATAGGAGGTGCCAGCCAAAAAGGGCTTAGCCTATGCCCCCTTTAGTTCCCTCCTATTTATAGAGGTCCTTGTCAACTTAACCCTAATGGATCATGCCCTATTAGGTACTAGAACTCTATCCAATTACTCTATAGGGAAATCTAGGAGCGACAACACATGTCCAGCGATATAACATAAAACAAAAATCTCAAATTTCTCAAAATGTGTTTATCATCGTACGAAGATTTGTGCGCAAAAACCCACAAAACTAAAAATCACTTGTGAGATAGTTGTGTTACCTATGTAGATCGTATATCCCTATATTCCTATAGATCTATGGGAGAGGATGAAGAAGGTCAAGCATCCTCCTCTCTAGTGGTGATCCACACAATAAGGGCTACGAAGATACTATTCAAATCGCTGCCCAAATCTCTAAACCTGTTGTCTAAGGAGGAGAAGGGGAGAGAAGAATAGGAGGTGACAATAAAAAAGTCTAGCCTATAACCCTTTGGTTCTCTTCTATTTATAGAGGTCTCTTATCAACTTAACCAAAATAGATCCTACCATATTAAGTATTGGATCTCCATCCAACTACCGAAGTCTCTTAGATTAGTAGAACTCTATCCAATAATCTCTAATTGACTCTTATTAGATCTCATCCATAGGATCCAATAATTCAAGAGGTTATTGGATATCCAATAAAATAAGGGCTCCGATAGATATCTCATATCCGAGCCTCTACTCATCACAATACCTACCATATGCACGTGACTCTCTAGGTCGAATATCGAGTTGATCATGAGTTATACCTTTCAAAACTTCTTTTGGCTCAATGAATTGTTATTTTCATAATAATTCACTCGACTCATCAACTACAAACGTATTAGACAACTATGTTATAGTTCCCAAATGATACAAGAGAATCCAATCATTTAAATATATATGTTCTCAGTTATCGTATACTTATAGTTTATCATCCATCTAATATCCTAGATATTATACACCGAGCCTGGTGTTGTCAGGTCTCTACGGTTTCTCCTTGAGTCTCGCTCTGATCAGATTCTCCTAGAGAACTCTTTCTCTCTCAATCCGAATGACCTTGGCCAAGGATTTATCTGAGCAAGAACATATGAGATATTTCTCTTATGATACTAAGAGCGGATGATCCTTTATCGACACTCAATAGCCATCGTAAGATTGACTATTACTCTTGATGACCAGTTGTACTAGATCTAGAACTTTCAAACCTAAAAGTTCGGCATCAAAGAGTGGAGTACTCATACAGGATATCCTTGGTGTCTCAAGTCTAAGGACCATGTATACCACTAGGATGACGAAATCACTCTCTAACAATGAGGTATCATTAACCATCCAGCGTTCTACGAGCAGATCAATCAATGAACTTATTCTCCAATGAACACCTGCACTATAGCTCTAGTGTCCCCACATGAGCAACTATGAGACTAGCCAACTTCGTCATATGGATGGGTATACAATATACCTGTATGTCCGGTTATCTCGATGTCCCTCTCGAGTAATCTATGACCAAGATTATTTAGGGTTTGTGTTTAGAGATAAATCGGTCTCGTTATCATGATCTCATCACAATCTGATTCTCATTACACAGATCCATCAACATCACAATATATTTATGCATTAAGCAATATAAAGTGAGAAAATATCATGTCACAAATGCCATCACTCACGTGATTGGCTTGTAGGACATCTATGACTAGCAATCTCCCACTT